TTTTTTTATTTTAAATAAAACTATTCAGATTTGGATAGTTGTGGCTGTTTTAGTAACCGCAAAATGTAGAATTTGAACATTTATTAAGCACTATAGATACTTTAGGAGTCTTGCACAAACCTGAAATATATATTATATATATATATGTGTAAAACTATTTACACCTGAATTAATTCACTTACCTGCCTTACAAGATCTAATTCCTCAAAAAGCTGTTTTTTTAATTTCTGAGTCACAAAAAGAAAGTCATAAAAAATAAAATTGTGGCTACATTAAAAAATTCAACCACTGCTCTTGGACTAGTGGTGGTCAACATAGTAGATAATAGTGGGTCCCAAGTACGACTCCTGAATTACCAAAAGGGTGCATATAATATTTAGTGAATGTAAGGCTTTCACAGGCCATGCATCAGGAGATGGCCAAAGACAATGGCATGCTGGAAGAGATGGGAAGAGGCTACAAACATGCTGTAAGTAGTTGTTGGAGACTGGGGACATGCTTCAAGAGACTGTAATAGACTGGAGACACATTACACAAGATTGCTAGAGATCACTGCTATTACAGTCACATTTGTGCTTACTACAGCACCTTAAAAACAACTTATGCCACAATAGTAAAATACATTATAAAAGATAAGAAGGAAAACATAAAAAGAGAAAAGGTATACATCACAAAAAATAGTGTGAAATAAACTATTAGAAGTGAGTCTAAAGAATATTTTTCCTTCACTGGTTTGAGTAAGCCCTGGAGGCTGCACAAAAAGTGACAAAGGGCAATAGGTTGGGCACCAGGGTATTAAACAGAGAGCAAGTCAGTCAAACTGCTAGACATGTTGCAGCACCAAGGTTATAAAGTCTGAGTCAAATAGGAATAAATCAAGCATGCTATACATACGATCAAACATAGATTAAATACTCACAATAAATCAATTAATAATTAAAAAAATATATGCAAACATTTATGGCTACTTCAGTGCAAAAAGTCTAAATAATCATGTTATGTATAATAAGGCAACTAAATCAACAGTCCTTGATTTCTCAACATGCCCAAGCATCTTCCACAGCTTGAAGGTGATTATAAACCATAATTTCCACAAACTTCAAGGTTGGGAGTTCTAGCAATGAAACACCCGACACCCAAGGTAAGGTGGAAAGCTTACGGGACCATATACAGGTTCCTACAGCCACCTCCTTCCTTTACTGCATTACTGATTCCACAAACATCAACCTTGTTTAGGTTCATTCTAGCTGGGGATTCATTGAAGTACAATAACTTTACAAAGCATACCTAACAGTACATTTGTTGATACACTGAAAAAGTTTACACAGTTGTGCTGGGCAAAAGACATTTAAGAATCAACTAATTTTACATCCCACACCCACATCAAAAATACATTTTCACACTGCTAAAAAATGAAACCCAAAAACTTAACTGATCATATTTAGAAACACATGTACACACACATAGAATTAATTGATCACACCAAATGGACAATGGTTTTACCCAAAGAACTAATCCTAACCTTGACCTAACCACCATTGATCTCAACATCCATAAAAAGAGAAACATTGAAGATTTAAGATTACACTGTAATATTGCCTCCCTGCTAAAGGCCTCATGTTGAGTTCCACATTAAACAGACAATATTTAATTGACCGTGTGCCATACCTACCCCTTGTCTGCTTAGTTTCTAGTGCTAGAGGCCAGAATCTAGTTTCACATTTCAGTTAAAAGATAGCCCAGTTTCTGAAAAATCTAGAACTCAAATTTCAACTTTCTTGTAAAAGTAATTCCCAGACACAAACTGCTGTGAAAGTTGACTAAGAGTAACATTTAGGCCCCATTCAGGCCATTGCAGGAAACCTATCAGGGGGTTTCCTGTGCTAAGTTGTGGGTGAAAATTCCCATTGAAAGTAATGTGAGGATGAAAACTCCCGAAGCTATTCACAGCCAATCACATATAATTGCTTTTTCGGAGATTACCTGTGAATGATTAGCACTGGATGCAGACAGTCCACATTCAGGCCAATCATTCACAGGTAATCGCTGCAAAATATCAGCTGTGGATAGCTGCAGATGTCAGCATTGCATTGCTTTCACTGGGGCTTCCCGTTTGCAGTCAATCACAGGGAAACCCCGCTCGATCTTCCACAGTTGACCACAAACAGCCTCTTTCACAAGTGTGAATGGGGCTTTAGGCTTCACGATTCACAATGTAGAAGTATTTGTACTTCAAGAACTCTGCTAATCTGGGATCTTTAGGAATGGAAATATACAGTATACAGGTATTCAATAGCTTAATTGCTGACCCATTGCACAAAAAGGTTAGCATCAAAGTGCATCAATACTACAAACATTTTTTAGTTTTGGGTACAATGGCAAAGCTTCGTAACCTATGTCTGGTTTAACTGCTATCTGGGGCTGCCTGAGGACAATATTTGACTAGACAGGAAGTAAGGAAAAACATCTGCAACAGGGAAACCGGAAACAAAGAAAAAATCTGGCAGTGGTTCTAGCATTCCCCTACTAAATTTTAAAATATCGTTTTTACTTCTGTTGAGTAGCTTGTGGGATTTTTCCTCACTTCCTGTCTTAAGGACAACTCTTTTAACAGACAAGAAGTGAAGAAATCTCTGCAACAGTATATGTTATATTTACACTTGAACAAATTAAAATACATGTCACAAAGCTGAGAGATTGGTTTTTACTGCCAGGAAATTCTGAGAGATCTGGTCTGGATGGATGTACTATTCTTCTGAAATAAGTGATGATACCTAGATCATTTTGTTTGTCATGTACAGTAGAAGCGCTTGGACACAATTGCCTCTCTTTGCCTCTAGAATGATATCACAAGGCACTCCAATTTCAGTCTTTTTGGCCAGATAGATTACCTCTTACAGGCCCACTTTCACTGACCGAGAGAACTGGATTTTTTTTTCTATTATCAAAGGAAAACTGGTCCAAAATAGTAAAAAAAAAAAAAATCTATTTTTTTTATTTAGCTGTGTGTTTCTTTTTACCACCATAACCTACCACCAAAGAACAGCCCAAAATAAATTCTCCAGTGCTTGAAAATCGTAGCGATACCATATATGTTTGTTATTTGTTGGTTATACCTGTAGTACAGCCCAGAAAAAAATAGTGTGCATTTTGTTTTGTTTTTTATTTATTTATTTTTTTACCTAAAACACACTGACATTAACTGACACTGATACCAATTTAAAAAAAAATTAAAAATCCTGAACTTTGACCCTGACCCATACACTAACCCTGGCACTGAACTAGATCAAATAGGAAAAAAGATCTGCACAACCGCCACTGCACTAAACTCTTCCTCTTTATTGAAATGACCACAAAAAATTACATAAAAAATACAATAGGTTGAAAAAAAGCCTTACCCATAACATAATGTAGCATGAACCAGATCAAACCTTGATCTAGGTATTTTTTCTTTATTTTTTTAATATTTATTGATATATATATATATTTTTTTTTTTTACAGTTTTTTTTTCTCCTCCAAGGAGCAAAAAAACAAGGGGAGTGGGCTTCACAGTGACTGATCACTGTGATAGCCAATCAGAGGCTATCACAGTGATCATGTGACTCGGAATCTGGAGTCTTGGGTCCCGATCTTTAGAACGGGACCCAGGGCTCTCAGTGACACCCCGATCTTTGTGCTGGGAGCGAGCCCTGCGTCGCAATCCCAGCACAAAGACAGTCACGCAAATATGTGGCCTCATGGAAAAAAGTCCAGTTCTGTGAGGCTGCATATTTGTGTTATTGTCAGTGCCAAGCGGTTAATCTGGCATTATTGATACATATATTCTCATATTTTATATGGTTGACCCCTCTGTATACAAGCAATGTTCGTTGTAAATACCAGCTAATTACTGTTTGTTTTTCTTCTTACTGTGTCCATTACGTATCTTGATACACTAATTACTGTGAATACCTGAGTGATAATCTCTGTTAACATGTAGCACCCTCTATACTGCTTATTTTATTTACTCCGGCGTTATTGTCATGGACAGGCTTTTATGCCTTATTTATTGTGCTTTGAAATGAATGACACAATTCTTGTGTTGTAAAACTTATTTGTATTATTTTTTCTTTTCTATGTCTCAATCAAATTTGATTACACAAAAAAATTCACATCACAAACTTAATATATTTGGCAAGCATGGCATACCCTTTATGTACACCATGTGTTTGCCAAGAGATTGGGATCGGAACAGCGAATTCTCTCCATGGCAAGGCTTGAGTATTTCACAAGGGAGCACTCGCCACATGTTTCTGTAGCACAGTAACTCCATTAAGCTGAAAACTGGCCATACAGTACAGAAAAAAAATCTTATTCCTCCATCCACAATATGGATCTATAAGCCAATCTGCAGTGGTATCTACAATATTCTGAGAGCTGGCCATGGTGGCTGTCAGAATACCTGAACAGCAGCTGCATCTGATTGGATGCAGATATTGTTCTGCAATTTGTTTCGCCTTGCTCCTTCAACCTTTCAATCAAAGGATGTTGGGTAGGAGCCTGGTGATAGGGCCACCCATAAAGAACATTTTGGCTAGTTCATCCTAGCTGAAATTTTCTCAGTGTATGCCCAGCTTTAGCTCAACACACAGTACAAACAAGCACTCCGTGAAAAGTGTCACATGACTGTGGTTTTGCATTTATTGGATACTTCACATAGCTCCTTCCTTTATTTAATACTTTGGCCTAATTTAAAGAAAACTGCTATTGACCACACCACCAGGTTTTATGCACGAGTCTCAGATGACATCCTATGGTTTCATTAGGGAAATTCCAGTGATCAAGCTCTAATTTTACTACACTTACATTTTTCAAAGTTGTCATGTGTGGAGTGACTGGTGTGCAAAGTGTGCTGAGCCTTCTGGCTCAACAAGAACAAGTCCTCAAAGTCTTCATTCTGTGTGAAAACTCTAGCATGAATAATTTTATGATTACAATTGTGGTTTTGTTTTATGTACAGATAGTGAGATCATCTCTGCAGATTGTGTACGGCCAAGATCATTTACTGCAATACCTCGGCCATCTCTAAGAAGAGAAGCAGACGATACCCGCTTGTCTGTCAGCCTGTGCGACCTGAACTTGCAAGAAGAAAACTTTCAGTCCATGTCCACCATGTGCCCTATCCCACAAAACTCACTCAACTCTCAACATTCCCACCTGCTCCCATCTCAACTGGAGAGTGATCTACGATTCCATCAGCTCAGAGGGGCTCACATCAAAACATTGGATGATCAAACTGTGGCCAGGCTGGAGCATGCTCGAGAGGAGCGAACTTTAGTGTTCACCAACAGACCACTTCGAATTAATGAAACCATATTTGTCAAGATAAACAAATCCAACTCTTCACGGTCTGGGACTTTGTCTTATGGTGTGACATCTTGTGATCCCAGCACTTTGAGACCAAGTGACCTTCCTTATAATCCAGAGTCTTTGGTTGACAGAAAGGAGTTCTGGGCTGTATGTAGGGTTCTGGTTCCTCTTCAGAGTGGGGACATCTTGGGGTTTGTGATAAATACAGAAGGTGAACTACATTTAAGTCACAATGGCAGTAGCAGTGGAATGCAAGTCTGTGTGGACTGTTCTCAACCTTTGTGGATGTTTTTTCGGTCTTCATGGGGCCATTATGCAAATACGCATATTGGGTAAGGATTTCAATTTTGTACTTTGTATGCAATGTTTATAACAGAATCAAAATAATACCCTAAATACATGCTTAAATTTCCTTATTCATACAGAAAGTGACTATGTCTAAAGCCAGCCATACATGGGTCAAATTCCAAAAGAATTTTCGTTTGAAAATCTTTTCTAAGAATTTTCCACCATTAGTGGGCAACAGCAATGGCCAATTTTCGAGCGACCATCAAATTTGAGTGATCAGGCATGTTGGAAATTTTTTGAAAAACGAATGAATTTCTAATCAATGATGAGAGAATCGTGCGAGAAATGTAATCGAAAAAGAAATTAGCATGAGCTGTGACCTGAACAGAAATTCTTGGCCACGAAAATTCTTTTCTGTAGCAACATGAGGTAAAAATAAAGACTTGATTGATCGTATTTCGAAATCAATGGTGGCAACATTGGATTACAAAATGCACAAAATTTCTGATTTTATAAAGAAAATTTGTTCGAAATTCGATGTATGTATGGCCTGCATTAGTTATGAAAAGTAACGGGAAAAATACTGAGGTTCTTGCACCTATCAATAAAATTACAGCTGTAGATTTCTAGGACAGATTCAAAAATAATATCCTATCTGCCCTTCTGCTAATCTGCAGTAATTATGTGGGTGTGGCAACAACTATATATCCACCATAGCATGCTTAGGGGCAAGTGTTTGAAATATTTTTTCTTCCCTTTGTTGGTGTGATCATCATTTCATTTATCAGTCTCTTTATGCCCCATCTCATAATTAGAAGAGAACAATGCTCATTAGAAAACATATTTCAGTCCACTACATTTTGTTTTTACGTTTTTTTTTTCTTGAGGCTGTTGAGATTGTTTGCATGAAATATCTGTAAGACCGTTGCATTATTTTACCTGTATAACATGCAACAACCTCTCTTTGTGATTATGTACCTAATGACGACATTATTGGTATAAATTACCAGTAGACTGAATCAAATGAAGTCAGAGATTCTGTAAATATGACTTTACAGTTCATCATGAACTAGTTTCAGTGAAAACAATTCTTGATACCTTCCCATTAACAACAGCTTTCTGGTACTGAGCTGTATGTATGATCCTTGTAGCACTATATTAATAATGCAGTTACCATGTCATATATTATTTATCACGTCTATCAGAGAAAGTAGTGAACATAAATAATCCACGAGGCCTTACACTGGAAAAAGTGAAGAAAATTAAAGCTGGAAAGAGAAAGTGTTAGATTGTGTAGCCACAGCATTAAATCAGACTAATATACGGTGGAAATTGGTGGTGTGTAAAGAGTTTATAGCCAACAAGACATTGTTTGGAACAGAACTCTCTAGTTAGTAACAGAGTATTATAATATCACTGGGCTTCCTCAATGTGTTTTACAAATATATTGTGCAATAATGTGTACCTGTCTCTTATATGCTCTGAATATAGCAATATATACTGGTTTTCTGGATATTATGGTTAGAGCTAAAAAGATAACATTTTATCCACTTGAGTCCAGCACGCCAATGGTGCAGGGGTAGCAGCTATATGGCGCCTGTCAGCTTTAATGCTAGGACCACCAATGTTAAATAATATTCATGACATTTGTGTCCACTGCAAAAGCATCAAATGTGTCAATAAAGCGCTCCTACAGTAAAACATAGACAATTACTTTGAGCTTTACCAGTCCACTATCTTACATGAAATTACAAGAAAATGCATTTTTTCTATTTTTTTTAAACTTTTATTCCCAATAAAAAAACAAGGAAATACAAATATATGTATCCAAATTTGCTACCAAAATAAGCCCCATCTGTCCTCAAAAAAGGCATATAATATGTTACAGTAGACTACAAAAATTAAAAAGAATAATATATGGAGCTGAGAAATTACCAAAAAAAAAATAAACACTATGATTCAAAAGAGAAAAGGGGAAAAAAAGGCCTCGGGACTCAAGTGGTTATAGTATAACTAAAGGTCGCAACTGTTTAAAAAAAAAAAAAGTATAACTAAAGGCAAAACTTTTTATTTTATTTTGGATAGAGTAATGCAGGCCATAGACGGGTCGAAAACCAGAAAACCCCCCCCGAAAAATCGGTTGTTCAATATGCCGACTTTACCACCAATGATTAAAAAAATCATCCGATTTTCGTCCCGTCTACGGCCGGCATTTAATTACTTCTGTCCCTTGCAGAGAGCTACGCTATTATATTTGACATGAAAAAGTATTGCGGTTGCAACAATGTATCCATTTTTATCCATTTTGGATACAGATGTTTTTAATTCGGATACAGATGTTTATATTCGGATACAAACAGATACATTGTTGCAACTGCAATACTTTTTCATGTCAAATATAATAGCGAACTGAAACTTCTTTTCTTCTTTTTTTTTCTTCTTTTTCGTTTTCTTCTTGCAGGTCACGGCTCATGCACAGATTTTTGTATTGGTAATATGATCGGCCGATTTGCCCATCATTACCGGCAAAATATGCCGATTTTTTCCAACTTTACCAATAAAAAAATGGCCTGCATAAGGGAGGGTTATAACCCATCATTTTTTTTTTTTTTTTTTTTGCTTGCCCTGTTTGTGTCCTGTAGGGGATCCCAAAAACAGGAAATCTCTTCAAAGTGAGAGAATCCCATGGTGTCACCAAGGATAGTGTCCCCACTGTCAGATTTTCTCTCCATTACTGTTCTGGTATCAACCCAAAATTTGGGATTTTCTTTTAATTTCTCTTTCAATAATGATAAACATGACAAATAGAGCGAATCTCCCTAGCGTGGACAAAGACTTCAATAAAAACTGACAGGTGTTCTAATCCCTCTCTACTCTATCCAAAATTAAAAAAAGAAAATGTTTTGCCTTTAGTTACACTATTTTTGTGTCAGATAAATCTTAATAGGTTGTATCTCCCAACTGAGCCAACAGATGAAGCTTTAGGCTGCCTTCCACATACTTTGCTTAATCTTTTTTGGCCCTATTTTGAGAAAACAAGGTGTTCTTTTGGTGATATTGTCTTGCAAACATTTTAGTTTCAATCTATAGACGAAAACATGCACTAATCTGTGTCCAGTGTTTTTCAAAACAACCACTGTTACTGTAGAAAAAAAGTACAATTTTTATTCTATAATTCCTTCCATTCATAACACAATATAAAATTCTGATACAGAGCTCTGCAAAGTTATTTATAAATTAAAGTGTTTTTAAATTTTGATACACTAAAAAAGTAATGTCATATTTAATAGTGAAAAACAAAAATAAGCATCTATAATAATATAATGCCTAGGTTAGAGTTTTGTTTGCTCACCACAGTTTTGTTTGTTTTTGCACTGAGGATAATGCCTTAACCACTTCAGGTCCAGACACTTTTATCCCCTTCCTGCCCAGGCCAATTTTCAGCTTTCAGAGCTATCACACTTTGAATGACAATTGCGCGGTCTTGCAAGACTGTAACCATATGAATTTTTTACTATTTTTTTGAGACAGATAAAGCTTTATTTTGGTGTTATTTTATTCACCACTGGGATTTTTTTTTTTTTGCCATATAAATGAAAAAGTCCAAAACGTTTGAAAAAAAAGTGTTTTCTTATAAAATTTCATATCAAATATCATAAATCTTGGCCAAAATGTATTCCGTTATCTTTTTAGTAAAAAAAAAATAACCCAAATTAGTTTATAACCAAAAATTATAATTTTTAAAATTGTTTTTTTTACATTTTTTTTTTTTTTTTATTTATGTGTTTTTTTTTTTTACATACTGTCACTCTAGCAGTACAGTGTCACCATGGTGACACTGTACTACCTATGGGGGGCGATGAAGATTTTTTTTTTACACCGATTACTTTTACGCCCAATAAAGGCTGTAAAAGCAATCATTTCTCCTTCTCTCTGGCTACATTCTTTCAGTCTTTGAGAACTACTGTGTGAGCTGTGATTGGCCACAGCTTGTCACGTGGTACAAGGCTGTTGTGAATAGCCTTGTACCATGTGACCTCTGTGATCATTCACAGATTTCACACGTAGTAAGCAATGATGTCAGAAGTGACATTTTGCTTACTACTCTGCATGTGATCACTGATTGGCCAATCAGTGATCACATGACCGGGACCTCGCATGTCCAGAGGACACAGTGGGCACCAGATCGTGGTGCTGCGCGCTCCCTGGGAGCGTGCACAAGCAGGGGGCAAGGGAGGCCATTTATAAACAGCCACCTGACCCTGCACTGCCACCGTCCAGCCGTTGTATATAAACAGCCGGATGGGAGGTGGTTAAGCTGGGTATACTGTACATGTAGTGTTTTCTTTTTTTTTCTTTTGTTCAACCCGGGGGAAGAACAAAAAAAAAAAAAAAAAACTGACAGATACCTTCACTGACACAAGTAATGTCGAATGCAGGGATCTCTCCAACTGTCCTATTGTATTCTGTCAGAGGGACTCATCCCCGTCAGAATACACAGATCAGCTTTTGCAGCCACTGGCTGGAAGCACTTATTGAATTCTGGCTTTTCAATATGACCATTCAACAGAAGCTGGTCATTAGAACGGCTTCTGTTGAACAGAGAGGAGTACACACAGACCTGCTGAACCAGATGAATTTGGGTACATGTGTACAGAGCACTAGTCAGAGTTTTGTTTTGTCACTGGGGGATTCTGACTCCAGTAAGAGTTCTCTTCCTTCTTCCTTTTCTGCTTCCCCACCTCTTCTGCTTAATTGCCCAATTAGATTCTAAGAAAATTATAGCGCAACCCTCTGATCAGTCACTCCCTACGATCCATCATGGCTATTTTCCTCTCTGCACCAGCCCAATGCAGACCTCCGCCCATGGATCTTCACTATGCCCCTGTTCATCTCTGGGGATCCCTCACTTCCTCCGGCCAATTCTTGGAGATAGGCTGTGCGGGGCTGAGAGGAGCACATCAGAAGCTTCTGTCCTGGGAATTCTGGCCATTTTGTATTGTCTCATAAGAGGGCTTACTGTCATCCATCTCTAAACATATTACTGCAAGCTGGATGATTTTTTTAGGAGTGTTCCCTCCATGCATAGAACCCACCCTATGTCCTGCTCATAGTGCCAGAGATATTGCTTGAGGGGCTAAAAGCTGCATCAGTCTCCCACTCAGCTGGTTTACTGAGACCTGACAGCTTCTGTCAGAATCCACGTTGGCTGGCAGCATCTGTGTAGCTGCTGCTTGGTGCACAGTACCCCATTGCACCGTCCTACAATGTCAACCAGTCCCCCTGCAACATCACCCAGCATCCCCCCCCCCACCTGCAATGTCAGCCAGCTGTCCCCCCCCCCCCCCCCCCCCCCACTGTCAACCTGCAATGTCAGTGAGCCCTCACACACACACACACACACACACACGGAATCATAATGTGTTAAAAAAAAAGAAAAATCCTGATCACTTGCCCAGAGTAGTTCAATGTTACTATGGTAACATTGTATTGCTTTGCTCACAGTATGCTGAAAAATAAAATAGTAAAAAGAAGAAAATTTTTTATAAAAAATAAATAAATAATAGAAACATTTGAAAATAAAAATACAAATTCAATTATCATTATTATTTTCACCAAAGAAATGTAGCAGAATACATTTTGATCTAAATTTACGAAGAAATGTTATTTGCTAAATTTTAGAAAGAAAAACGAAGAAAAGTGTTTTTTTTTTTTCAAAAACATTCAGGTGTTTTTTGTTTTATTTAGCAAAAAAAGCCTCAGTGGTGATTAAATACCACCAAAAGAAAGCTCTATTTGTGTGAAAAGAATTATAAAAATTTCATATGGGTACAGTGTTGCATGACCGTGCAATTGTCATTAAAAGTGCGACAGTGCTGATAGCTGAAAATTGGCCTTGGAGGAAGGGGGTATAAGTGGCCGGTATTGAAGTGGTTAAGGTATATTAATTAGATACAAAGTGTAGAAAGTAATTTACTGACCTACTGTGTTAAGTATATAGCCTATAACTGAAAGCCGACAAGATGCCTCTAGTTTTTAATGGACTAACAGATTAAATGACATCCCATCCAGCACAGCAGTTGTCATTATAGTGTGTAGTCTACAATTAAACTTCGAATGGGTGATATGAGACTGACAAAGAAGCAAAGGTTTTTGTATGTTTGGAGCAAATTCCGTGAGACATATTTATCTTATTTTCCAGTAATATAAACTAGAAGCCCCCAAGCTGTGCAGGAATTGGTAGTTGAAGCATCTGGCTTATATCATTATAGCATGTGCTTGATCAGTGACTAGCAAGAGCACTTGCACCAAGAATGACAAACCAGACCCTTGGTTATGTGCACATTCATAAGCCCAGCTCAGATCTTGTCATACCCCATTTATTGAGCATTATCTGTTCATTTTTCTCCTTTTTCAGTAATTGATTATGTGGATTAAGTTGAATCTGTTTGAGCAGTCAATTCTGCTGTAATTTATCAGGCCTAAATAGGACTTCCTTGACTTCCTTCTAAACCAGCAGCCTTCAGCCAGCTTCACACTGCTGCATTTGTGCGTGCACAAGACAAATGTAATGTTCTAGAGGCTTTTGATATGTGCTGTAATTCCGGTCACTTATGAATGTGATATCAATGTATTGAAGACAGAATCAGATACCACAGTATGGCTTAATCCTAACTGCAGTTACCTGATCTTTCCATGTGATGCAACTACTGTGAAGGGAGTCTTACTCTCTAGAATTGTAATAATGTAGTAGGTGGGAAGGCTAGAAGGGCTTTGTAAGGCAATTCCAGCTGGATGATCTCACCATTGCAGTCCCTGCTAGAGCTTAAATCTATAAAGGAAAAGAAGCATCAAAACCTAAAGTAAACAATTTTATTTTCTAGGCTCCACAATATCATCTGACCATCGAGACATATCAACACCAAGTTCTCCATCATCTGTTCCAAACACCCCAACAGCCCTGTGCAGTGGCAGCTCCGACCCTGTGTTGAACACATGTGTGCCAGGGCCCCTTTGTAATTCCATAAGTGGTAAGTACACAGTCTGTTGCTGTACACTGTGACAAAAGAAAAGGAATATTTATGTAAAGATCAAAATCTTATGGAGGTACACTGTCGATATTTTAAAGGAAAACTCCACAGAAAGAATTCTGTTTGGGCTGCTCATGAGCAGTGGGTTACCCCGTAATTTTATATAGAAATTCTATCAATCATCAAGGCCAACAATCAGTCTTTAAATAGGAATGAATGGGTAATCCAATGCCCATGAGCAACCAAACTAGAATGCTTTCTGTGGAGAGGCAGTGCAGCTCCTAGTGGTGCCACAGTAATCCTGTCCATGTAAGTGGAAGAATTGGGGGATTGGGACATCGTCTAAGAAAAACTGCACAAGGGCTTGTTCTGAAATGCAGCAGCCCTTGCTGCCCCTCTGAAAAATCAACTGGTGGTGGATCACTTTTGTGCAGGTGTTTGACAGGTGATGAAGAGGCAATGTGTCGTCTCACCACCCATTTTAACCTTAAAAATGTTGACCCACCACTCCGGAACTGCAGGAATTCTGATTATATGTGTGAAATCAGGTTTAGGTTACTTATAAAGTCCAAGTGGTGGCACTAATGATCCTGTTAACTAGTCATAGGACTGGACAAATAGTAGAAATCTGGCAAACCACTTCTTAGCCAAACCAATATATGAAAATGGTCACTTACAGCATAAGTGTCCATTGACATTTAAACTGGAGTCAAAATAAAATAGGCCAAATCAAGCGCTGGGTGCACATAAAAGTAGGATAAAAAGGCTAGCTGCTGACATAAAAGGTAACCTGAAAAACCTTCACATAATAAATCATGAATAATATAATGCAGCGCTAATAGCCATAAATGATATCATAAATAGGGAGGTGCCCCCCATTGATCTACCACACCGCATGGCTTTTTGAGGACGGCCGGCGGTCATTGTACATTACTCTGTAAGTGCTTGTTTCATATGTGTATCATCACCATTAAAGCTACTACACTATCAGAGTTCTTTGTCTGGGGCCCTTTTTTGTTTGGGAGCCCCATGCATTTTGAAGGTTTGCCTGAATCCTACTCATCTGACATCTGAGGTTTGTGTTGACCCCCCCCCCCCCCCCCCCTCCCCTGGTGGCTGTAACTGACATATCCGGAGGTCTTCTATGGATTCCAGATGTATGACACCTGGTGGCTGCAGTTTAGATGACTAATACCCATTCCAGAGTCCTACATCCAGAGTACCAGAAGTAGGTCTTATATACTCCATGTGCAAGTATTTCTTCTATCTGGTTAGTGCAATCTATTCTCAGTTTCAATATATAATGGTGTAGCGCTAAATAAATACTAACATAACTGACCAAAATCAGACTCAAATATATTGAATAAATAATCAAAAGTGAAAAATTAGTGCACACACACAATCAATATAAAGGATAACCCCAACTACAGGGACCAAACTAAGTGAATGACAAAATTAGTGCATGTGTACATAAAAACACTCTGTGAAAATAATATATATATATATATACACTAATAAAAAGTCCACACACTGCCCCAATAATGTTGATTAGTGCTCCACCCTGAAGAAGTCACGTGGTGATCGTGACGCAACGTGTCAGTACGCGGTGACAGGACTTCCAGTGCGCGGTGACGTCAGTTCCGGCATGGGGGCCATCTTGGAACACCCGAAACCATGCATATGCATCCATAATGTGGGGAAATGCTTGATTATGCTGTGTGACATGTGACATTTTTTGGTTCATTGGTGCAATAAATACGGATTTACACTATGGAGGATCTCTATCTGTTTCTGTCATGATTCTGTGTGGGTGAACTACTATTACAAGTACCAGGGGATTGGAGTACTCAGGAGGATAAAAGCCTGTGGGATATCCAGGAGGGTCCATTTGATGGCGACGAGGCTATTCCTGGGAAAAGCATGTCTTACCCTAAAGCGAGCTGGCCCTTGTGGTCACTGCAAGGAGGTGAGGGGGCACTTTGGATGTTTTTGGATTCACGAGTTGTTGACACTGGATTCACATTTATTTACACGCGAGTCATTGCTGTGGAGCACTAATCAACATTATTGGGGCAGTGTGTGGACTTTTTATTAGTGTATATATATATATATATATTATTTTCACAGAGTGTTTTTATGTACACATGCACTAATTTTGTCACTTAGTTTGGTCCCTGTAGTTGGGGTTATCCTTTATATTGATTGTGTGTGTGCACTAATTTTTCACTTTTGATTACTTATTCAATATATTTGAGCCTGATTTTGGTCACTTATGTTAGTATTTATTTAGCGCTACACCATTATATATTGATTATTTATACTTTATGGTTTAAGGGAGGTGTTAGCAGCTTAGGGGTAGGGATTTTCCATTCAAGCACAGGGGATTGTTCTCTCAGTTTCACCAGCACAGGAGTCACGAATATTCTGCTTCATCACCTACTGACTTTCTACAGCGTTCACTTTTCACCTTGCACGTTAAAATTATATGTGTATACTGGTTTTACTTTGATGTGATTTATGATATCATTTATGGCTATTAGCGCGCTGCATTATATTATTCATGATTTAGACTGGAGTGTCAAAGTACCATTATAATCAGGCTGTCAAAATACCTTTGTTGTAAGACTAGAATAGAGTGCTTGCAAATCCTGACCTGAAAGGTTATACATCACTCATTTAGAGGCTGATTTATAAAGAATACAGTCATCCACTCTCCGACAAGCACAACAGAATTAACTTCACATGTCCTCTTCATTTTACAACTGATTCATAAACTGCAGAGGTGTAGAACCTGAGGTGTCCCTTACAATATTCTCTGCAAAATAGTGGCAAGGCCATACCGATGCTTATAATTTGGACCCTTAGTACAAAGGTGTTTGTAAACTACAGGACCATACATGAACATCCACAGTTCATGTAGGTCTGCTAGAAATTCCACTATACAGGTGAAACTCAAAAAATTAGAATATTGTGCAAAAGTTCATTATTTCAGTAATGCAACCTAAAAGGTGAAACTAATATATGAGATAGACTCATTACATGCAAAGCAAGATAGTTCAAGCCGTGATTTGTCATAATTGTGATGATTATGGCTTACAGCTCATGAAAACCCCAAATCCACAATCTCAGAAAATTTAGAATATTACATGCAATCAATAAAACAAGGATTGTACATAGAACAATATCGGACCTCTGAAAAGTGTAAGCATGCATATGTACTCAGTACTTGGTTTGGGCCCCTTTTGCAGCAATTACTGCCTCAATGCGACGTGGCATGGAAGCTATCAGCCTGTGGCACTGCTGAGGTGTTATGGAAGACCAGGATGCTTCAGCTCTTCTGCATTGTTCGGTCTCATGACTCTCATCTTTCTCTTGGCAATGCCCCATAGATTCTCTATGGGGTTCAGGTCAGGTGAGTTTGCTGGCCAATCAAGCACAGTAATCCCATGGTCATTGAACCAGGTTTTGGTGCTTTTGGCAGTGTGGGCAGGTGCCAAGTCCTGCGGGAAAATGAAGTCAGCATCCCCATAACGCTCGTCTGCAGAAGGAAGCATGAAGTGCTCCAAAATCCCCTGGTAGATGGCTGCGTTGACCCTGGACTTAATGAAGCACAGTGGACCAACACCAGCAGATGACATGGCTCCCCAAATCAACACAAACTGTGGAAACTTCACACTGAACTTCAAGCATCTTCCAGTGTGTGCCTCTCCATTCTTCCTCCATACTGTGAGTCTTTGGTTTCCAAATGAGATGCAAAAGTTGCTCTCATCAGAAAAGAGGACTTTGGACCACTGAGCAACAGACCAGGTCTGTTTTTCTTTAGCCCAGGTAAGACGCTTCTAACGTTGTTTGTTTTTCAGGAGTGGCTTGACAAGAGGAATACGACATTTCAAGCCCATGTCCAGGATCCGTCTGTGTGTGGTGGCTCTTGATGTACTGACTCTAGCCTCAGTCCACTCCCTGTGAAAGTCCCCAACACTTTTGAATGGCCTTTTCCTGACAATCCTCTCCAGGCTGCGGTCATAACTGCTGCTTGTGCACCTTTTTCTTCCACCCTTTTCCCTTCCACATAACTTTCTATTAATGTGCTTTGATACAGCACTTTGGGAACATCCAACTTCTTTTGCAATTACCTTTTGAGGCTTTCCCTCCTTATGGAGGGTGTCAATGATGGTTTTCTGCACAACTGTCAGGTCCGCAGTCTTTCCCATGATTATGATTCCTACTGAACCAAACTGAGAGACCATTTAAAGGCTTAGGAACCCTTTGCAGGTGTTATGGCCTAATTAGCTGATTAGAGTGGGACACTTTGAGCCGAGAATATTGCACCTTTTCACAATATTCTAATTTTCTGAGATTGTGGATTTGGGGTTTTCATGAGCTGTAAGCCATAATCATCACAATTATGACAAATCACGGCTTGAACTATCTCATATATTAGTTTCACCTTTTAAGTTGCATTACTGAAATAAATTAACTTTTGCACGATATTCTAATTTTTTGAGCTTCACCTGTATAACACTACAAAATACATATTGTATAATGTTAAATGAAAATCAAATAACCAAACCACATCTTTATTTTCTTCAAGGTACAGCTCCAAACTCACCAGTGAGCATGCCAGAGTCACCCATCTCACCATCTGTCTCAGGAACCTGGAACGACGAGTGTACCATCTGCTATGAAAACATGGTGGACACGGTCATATACTCCTGCGGACACATGTGTCTCTGCTATACATGTGGCCTGAAACTCAAGAAAATGAACAATGCCTGTTGTCCCATCTGCAGACGTCTCATCAAGGATATTATAAAAACCTACCGCAGTAGTTAGTCACCATCTGGAAGAAGACACTCAGTCACCTTTTCGGTTTACTTTTACTCTGGAGTTTTTAAAAAAAAGAAGTTCTTGAGTAAGTCCAAGGCACTTACAACGTTGTAAATGTGACTGTAAATGTCTGTAACATTTCAACTCTGGAGCTCTGGATTTAAGGATTCTGAAAAACAAGATATCAGGGAAGTATAGTCTGGCAATCATCATTCTTTAGTATGATACAGATATAGCTCACAACTTTTATACTATTCTAAACTGAGATCTGGAAGTATCTCTTGAAAAAAGAAGTTTATGCTTTGCAGCAAAGAAAATCAAGATTTCTGAATTACAAGCAATACCTGCTAGCTTTAGGAAGTCAACAGAATATGAAAAACAGAAAATGTGGAAGTTTTGGTAGTGTGTCAAGAGGCCTGATTGTACAACCATACCGTTGTACTGTAGTTACTGAATAATATTTGTTTTGCAAAATGTCATCAGAAAGGTTTGAGCCATAGTGGGTCTGCCAATGTTTTCAACTAAATTAGGCTAAAACATTTTTACATTTTGATTGTTTATATCCTCTACTATGTTCCTCTTGGAAGCTACAGTACTGTAGAGTAGGCACCATATTGGGTTAAACATAATAATCATTTTAATACAATTCCCCCCATTCCCCAAGTTCACTAGTTGATTCATGCTCTCCTTTTTCTGAGTGGTAAGTTTAGTTTCTTTATACAGGCCCAAACGTGGGAATGTGGTCAAATGAAAACAGGTGCTTTTGGGGAATTGTTATTTATTCTGTATTTTTATACATGAGGTATCATTTTTCCACAGCGTACCTACTTCCAATAATTTATAAATAGAATTTGTAAATGTATGGTGAGGCATGAATAGAAAATGCTGCTCCAGAGACTGTTTCTGATTTTTAACCATATGTGAAAAAAAAATTGCTCCAACATTTTTTTTAAATATAGCATTGGTTGTTTGGCAAGCAAAGCCTTCAGTTGGTTTTGCTGGGATGACCTGGTTTAGTATTTAAATGTCTGGGAAAGAAATGTTTTTTGGCTGAGCCTAGCATATAATAATAAGTTGGGGATGACAACACAAATCTTGTTGCTCTGATGCCGGTGCAAATATGAGTGCTTCTACAAGCAGTAACCTTTTTTCTTTCCTCTTTTATACATGAAACATATTGAGATAGATCCTATAGCACTCAGAAAAGGTGGTCTGATCACGGCCCAGAATAATAGAAAAAGGGTCCTAAGGTAAATCCTTCTTCTTTATAAATTGAATTTGTGCCTTGAAACAACTAGTCACCTTGAAAAAAGGAATACTGGGTCAGTTTGCAGAATGGCAGCCTCCACAGTTCATAGGCGACTGGTACACTATAAAGGCTATATGAAGGCACAGGCTTTAGCCAACATAAGGTTGATCATTCTAGCAGTTTGGGAAATGTGGATGATTTTACTTAAATTGAAAAAAGGAACAGTTCTTAATAACCAAGCAAAAGAAAAATCACATTAAACATATACAAAATGTAAGGTTATGTTCCAAATGTATCCATTTAGATTACAGCTCTAATTTCCTATCCTTAACTAAGAAAAACCTGATTTTTTTTCAACACTAACTCCCCCCCCAACTTTACCACACACAAAAGAAATGAATCCTAAGGAGCGCAAATTTTCCATTTTCATGTTGACTATTGTGTTGTGCAACATGATGGGATTTTCACTTTTTGATGGCTTGTTAATCCTATTCAATGGATACAACAACCCTCCTTGCCTTGCTTAAAATACAAACTTTGTGACAAAGGCTACATGCAAGTAATATTGGGATAACCCAGCTATAATAAAAGATGTCAGCGGTAATTCCAGCCAGTCATGGCTTAAACTATGTGTAATAGATTCAATAGTATTATTTATCAAGTTGATTTGAAGTTTGGAAGGAGTCTTTATATAAAAACATTTTAACCTTTCTGTATTTTTACCTTTTTTTTTTTTTGCCTTGGCCTAAATCTTTATATAATCCTGTTTAACATTAGCTATTTAAAGCAAGTGTCCATCCAGTCTAAAATATTGCACTCTGTGTCCATGCTATATCAGTCAATGCATACTTTATTTAAACAGCAGATGTCACATTGTGCTTAGGCCCTAGTCACAGGGTCGCTGTGTTCACACACATTAGGCCGTGTGATCATGTGCATTGAATCAAAGCAGCCCATTCGTTTGCAACACACACATCCATCAGCAAGGTGTGTTGGGATGCCATTCAGAACGAATAGCACCACATTGCGCCAACATAAGTAATGTGTATGCGTTACCACAGCGCTACCATGTAAACAGACCCTTAGAGGGTTTCTGAGACTAATAAACATTTGATCCCACCTGTGATCTGATGCTTGCAGGAAGAATCATTTATAGGAACACCTTGTTTGAGAATAAACCCAAAATAGGGAACTTTCTTGCCCATCAAATTGATCTTTTAAACAATGATACAGGGCCAAGATTTTTTTATGTATTTATATTGACTATAGAATGTTGTGTTAATGTTATACCTATTTATGGGTATGTAGACTAAGGCCATAGTTACAGTCAGAACCTTGCTCTCTGCCTTACTACATTATGATTGGAACTACACAGCCAGTTTTAAAGTAAAGTTTCTCACTTGCAGCAGCCCTTTTCCAACCCTATGAAAGGCAATGGATCACTTTTTTCAGAGGGTGTGTAAGTTTCCTCCTCACCGTCTGTTATAACCCTAAAAAGGCTGAACCACAGCACTGCAACTGTGTGGATTGTACATAGGTTGTAGGGCGGTTGTCATACACTTAAATGGATTGCCACCCACCAAATGCAGCATGTGGTTTAATTTTTTCTGTGGCATATGTACAGCCCTGAGTGCCTGCATGCCCTTTTTATGGTTGGCAGTCAGAGGGTGGTAGAACCACAGCTCAACAACCTGCTTTTACTGTGCTCTGGTTGCATAATTAAACGAACCCTAAGGCCTTATTTACAAGAGCCTCAGCTTTTATAAGAATAGTATGTACAGCAAACGTTTACAAAGCATTTGCAGAGTAAACTTTTCTTGAGCCTTTCAGGTACCATTCAATCCCAGTTTGGAACAAGCTGCTAGAGGACTCCATTAAACCTAGCACTGTGAAGCCTGGTAGAAGCTTGTTAAGCCTTGCTAGAATGTCCTTGAAATTGACAGTCAGTACTTTCATTAAGATCTGTGTTTAAAACAGAAGTCCAAGGAAATGGCTTTTAGTCCTTATTGTTACGCAAAAAAAAAAGTTACCTCTAATAGGGTGTAGTCCACGGCTAGAATGGCTGCCCATTCTTGTAAATTTACACTTTCATTCAGCCAGATAGTATATACTGTGTGCTATATCTACCATCCCCCCTGCAAATATAGGAACTGCAGCTGTCATACGTTGAAGACAAAGTGTTGTTTATTTGCCCTTCCTCTCCCCTTGCCCGTTCAGTGAACTTCTTGTATTTTGTAAATGGTTCACCTATTTAGAAGGCAACTTCTTTTTTTGTAAGGACCATAAGCTGTTTGCAGAAGTCCATGTTAAAGCAGAAGTCCAGGCAAACTGGAACCAAAGAGTTCTTTAAAGACCTCAAGAAAGCTGCTCAAAGCTTGCAAAAAGCTTTTCATCATCCTATTCGCAGCAGAATGATTTCAGTTTGCTTCAAATGAGGTGATGGTTCAAAGATAAAAAATCCCCAAGTGTAATCATAACCTAATTTCTATGTTTTATAGGTCTAAATTGAAAATTAAAAAAAAAAAATCAAGATTGTTCAAAGGTGTATTTTCCTGAAGGAGGTTTTTACTAGAAATACTACTTATTCATATACTAGGGGCAAGAGTATTTGGGGGTGTACCGCTATGAACGAAAATACTGGTCATTACTCCACACTGGTTACAGCAATGGAAAATGAGCACCATGCACTAACAGGTATATTGGTCCAGCCATGCTTCCCATTTATGTATATGTGCTGGGTACATATGCTATATGGAAAGATATATTATTCAGTTCCCTTGACCCTAACTAAACACTCTTGCTGACAAGTCTTTGTCACAAAACTTGCTAATATCTAAGTCTGCATTCACACAGGTGTTTAGCCATAGTGCAAATCCCAGCGGCAGGAATCTACTGATTTATGCTGTTGGGTTTGACAGCTTTAAGCAGATAACAGTTGTATACATCCAGCCACGGTCACTGCAGGTGATCACTGGGCTTAGGGGCCGTAGCTGTTAGCACCTTTTTGCAACCAGCCTGTCATAGCAGTGTACGGGCTCTATGGCTACAGATGCTGCTATCTGCTCACAGCTGTGATGGGATTCAAACTGTACCTACACGTCCGTGCTAAGGTGGCCTTTATGTTCCCGGTTGTGTCTACCACGTGACATATGCTTTCTATGGTACACAACTAGCAATATTCATTTACATGTATGTAGTATTCAGCCAAATGATAAATATCAATACCTGTGGCCCAACATAGAGGACAAATGTCTCCATATCCTGTCTCTGAGCTTTTAAAAGCAAAGGTGCTTAGATGAGGGAGAGAATGGTGACAGAGGCTTTTGAGAATAAGCCATTATAAGGATTGGTTCAAATATGTCCTGTATGAGGAAAAACAACATTCATCAAATGATGGTTCACAGCATTCAATGACTTCGATGCACTTTAAAGAAAACCTGTCATGAAGGTAAAAGGAAGGGGGGGTGGGGTGTTGTCATTACTGACCTTCTTCGTGCCGGGCTGTTTCTGATCTTGATTCTTTCTGAGTCACCATCCAAGCACCAGCACACAAGTTAGAAAGTCAAAGTAAAGTCAGAACTGCTGACCTATATACTTCTTCAATGTCAGTGCCTTGGAATATAGTAAAGCTATTAGTGACACCTAGGCAACTAACAGGACAGGTGAGCAAAGGAGGCTCCATATGCTCTCACTTTAGGTTTCTTAGATGTTTTATCTCCAGCCCACCAAATATGATCACAATTCATAAGTCATACAT